GACCTTGAAAAAAAATGCCTAACCACCCTGAACCTCAGTTTTCTCATCTGTAAAATGAGGTTAATAAAAATAAATTGTAAATTAATAATCTATATGAAGTATTTAAAACATTGCCTGACATACAGTAAACCCTTCCTAAGTATTAGTTATGCCAACCATTCCTTCTTGTTAAGAATTGCAGGATGCTTTTTTCCAACTGAAATCTGGAAAAGTGGTTACAGTCCAACTTAGACTCCAAATCTACTTATCCTGGTAGAACTGAAATATTATGTCACAAGAAGAAAAGAGAGAATAATGAAGAAAAACAGAAAAAAAAAGGATTAGGGAGAAAATAAGCAGGGGAAAGATAAACGTACAAGGACTCCACTCAGTAGGATACGTAGGTAGCCAATTCAAAGAGGAAGTATATATTAGGATAATTTCATTTATAGTAACAGATTAAAAAAAACTCTGTGGGCTAACTGGAAATTCTAATCACTAATGTGGAAATTGCCTCTATGAGAGGAAAAATACTCTAAATTTCAAGCAAGTGACTTACCAATGAACTGCTGGGTCAAGTTCATTTTTAAGTTGAGGACTTCCTGTATTTAACATTCCCAGGCAAATGACAATTGATAGTTGCAGCAAATTCTCCATCTCATTACCATGGGGAGTAGCTCATTAAAAGGAGAAATCTGTGCATAGACCTTGTGCATCTGAAGAGCTGCTTCTCAGGGAACTTGAAGGAAATCAGGGATGATTCTTCTTATCCCCAGGTTCTCATTGTATTCAGTACAGTACTTTCTCCCTAACACCCAGAAAAATCCCATGTTCCCATAAAGAGGAAGCAAGCTCATTTACCAAAATGAACTCACATGGCAAGAGGAAGATAAACATGGTGCTAAAAGAAGGTACACATATATTCTTGGCTGCTAGGGTAAAATGGCAGAGCAGAAGCTTCCTTCATGTGACTCTGTGAATGAGAAGAGCCATGGTAACAAAGGACAGACTATATCCTGAAGAGAGAAAGAGAAATTTGGAATCACAGAACAAGTGACAGGACCACTAACAAGCACACAGAAAGAGAAAGGCTATGCAGAGAAAAACAGGAAACAGCCCACAGCTCCAACCCTGGCTCCCGGGGAGGAAGAAGCCAAAGCCACAACAAGTATTGTTTTTACTTTGTTTGTAAAAATCTTTTATGTTTTTACTTTTTTCTCATCTTGCATTTATCTAATTTTATATTTTTTTTCTTTATTTTGAATTCAATTTATTTATCTCTTGCTCTTTTCTCTTCCTCTTCTTCACATTCTTCTCCTTTTTTCTTCTTTTTCTTTTCTTTCATTTAATCTTGCTTCTTCTTTTTCTTTACCTGCTCCCCTCCCTTATTTCATTCATTCATTATTGGGCTGGAGGAATGGCTCAAGCAGTAGAGTGCCTGCCTAGCAAGCATAAGGTCCTGAGTTCAAACCCCAGTACCAAATAATAATAATAGTAAAATAATAATGTTATCTTTCATTCATTTATTATTATTCATTCTACTTTGGTTAATTTTTAACTTCATAGTTCATTCAATATTTTTTGCCATTGTCTTTTCTATGTTATTAGTGGTATATTTATTGGCTTAAAATGACTTTAATTATATTTCTATATCTGGTTTGTTTAAGTGTTGTTACTGTTACAGTGGTATGTTTTCTTCTCTCTGAGCAGTACTGGCCCTCAAGAGAAGACTTCTCACTAAGAAGAGCCCTACATAAAACTAAAGAGATAGCTATCCCAACAAATGTGCAAATTGCAACTCAGAAATACAAGAATATGAAAAACAGCAAAGCAGCATGACTCCTCCAAAAGGTCACAACTCTTCAGCAACTGAACCCAAAGATGTTGAAATGATTGCAATGCCAGACAAAGCATTCAAGAGTCTAGTTTTAAAACTGATCAGTGACCTCAAAAAGAATTCAAATAAACAGACAGATAAGTAGTCAATTCAAGACCTGAATGAGAAATTCAGCAAAGAAATAGATTCTGGAAAAAAAAAGAAAGAAAATAAATCTTGAAAATGAAAAACTCAATGAGTCAAATAAATACTCAATGGAAACATTACCAATAGACTGGACCAGGTGGAAGAAAGAATATCGAGGATTGAACAGTACAAAGTTGGGAGATTATTACATTCAGATAGCAACAAAAAAATAAACATGGCAATAACATCCAAAACCTCTGGAATACAATTAAGAGACCAAAACTATGAATACGTACTGCAGCAAGGGACCCAACATATTGACTGAAGGCATAGGAAATTTTTTCAATGAAATTATAGCAGAACACTTCCAAAATCTAGGAAAAGAAATGGAAATTCAAGTACAGGAATTATTTAGAAACCCAAATAGGCATGACATCATATTATAATTAAAATGCCAAGAGTACAGAACAAAGAAAGAATACTGAAAGCTGAAAGAAGCACCAAGTTAATTACAAGTTATTATCAGAATAATAGCATACCTCTGAACAGAAACCCTAAAGGCCAAGAGAGAATGGACTCAAGTATTTCAACCCCTGAAATAATTCAACTGCCAATAAAAACTACTATACCCAGCAAAGTTATCCTTTAATATTTAAGGAGATAAAGACCTTCTATGACAAGCATAAAGCAAAGCAATTCATGACCACTAAACTAGCACTGCAGAAAATATTTAAAGGAATACTACATGTGGGAGAGGAAGAGAGATAAGCATAAGAGCTCAGGAAAGAATAAATCTCACGAGGAGAATGGATAAACAGATGAAAAGCAGAAATAATCAAACATTATTAACTAAGTAAACTAGCAGGATGAAGGGATAAGTTAGTATACACCTCTCAAGAATAACCCTCAATGTAAATAGTTTTAACTCTCCAATTATAAGATAAAGACTAGCTGAATGGATTTAAAACTAAGATCCATCTGGTAGCTGTCTACAAGAAACTTGCCTCAATAGCAAAAACACAAACAGAAAGTTTCATCCTCAAACAGAAAGGATGAAAACCAATATTTCAAGCAAACAGAACCCAAAGGTAAACAGGAATAGCTATAGTCATATCTGACAAAGAGGATCATGGTCCAAGGCCAGCCAGGACAAAGTCTTTAAGACCCCATCACAAAGAGAAAAAAGAAGCTAGGCATGGTGGTATACATCTATCATCCCAGCTACAGAGGAAAATGTAAAATAGGAGGATAACAGTTCATGTTGGCTTGGGCAAAATGCAAGACACTATCTCCAAAATGCAAGACCCTATCTCCAAAACAGCCAGAACAAAAAGGGCTGAGGCATGGTTCAAGCAGTAGAGCACCTGCCCAGCAAGCATGAAACTCTGAATTCAAACCCAAGTACTGCAAAAAAAAAAAAAACTTGTGAACTGAATTCAACAGCATTTTTAAAAAGGTTAAACACCAGGATCCTGTGGGCTTCATTCCAGGGATACAAGAATAGCTCAACATATGCTAATAAACTAACATAACAAGCACAGTAACAGAATCAACAAAACTTACATGATCCTTTCAATACATGCAAAAAAGCCTCTGACGAAAACTTGAGGAAAGTAGTAATAGACGGATAGTAGTAATAGAAGGCTCAACAAAATATATGCTAGATACAGGGCTGGAGGCATGGATTAAGTGGTAGAGCACCTGCATAGCAACCATGAAGCCCTGAGTTCAAACCCCAGTACCACCAAAAAAAAAAAAATGCTATATACAACAAACTGATAGCCAACCTTATACTGAATGTGGAAAAACTGAAAGCATTTCCTCTAAAATCAGGAATGAGACAAGAATGTCCACTTTCTCTACTCTTGTTCAATATACTGCTTGAATTCTTAGCCAAAGCAATAAGGCAAGAGAAAGAAATAAAAGGAATATGGTTAGGAAAGGAAGACATTGAATTATTCCTGTATGCAAGTGATATGATCCTAAAAGGCCCCAAAGATTCTACCAGAAAATTCTTAGATCTGATCAACACTTTCAGCAAAGTAGCAGGAAACAAAGTCAAACATTCAAAAATCAGTAGCTTATCTATATTCTAATAATGAATATGGTGAGAAAGACTCAGGAAAACAATCCCATTCATAATAGCCTAAAAAAGGGAATAAACGTATTAATCAAGGAGATGAAAGATTTCTACTATGAAAACTGTAAAACACTTGAAGAACACACTAGAAGATGGAAAAATGTTCCATGTTCATAGATTGGCAAAATTAATATTATGAAAATGACTATATTATCAAATACAATCTACAGATTCAATGCAATTCTCATGAAAATTCCAGTGACATTCTTAATAGAAATTTTTAAAAAACTAAAATTTGTATGGAAGCACTAAATACCCAGAACAGCCAAAGCAATCCTGAGGAAAAAGAACAATGCTAGAAGTATCACAACACTTGATTTCAAATTATACTACAGAGCCATAATAGTTAAAAAACAATGTGGTACTGCCACAAAAACAGTCACTAGGCCAATGAAATAGAATAGAGGTTTCAGAAATAAACCATGCAGCTACAGCTATAGGATTCTTCACAAAGGTGCCACAGAAAAAAAAGGAAAAGACAGCCTCTTTGATACCTTCTCTGCACAAAGCTAGGTTCCTATCTTTTCCATTATCTTTAAAAATTATACTTATTGTTATTACTATTTCAAAACTCTAGAGCAACCCTCCAAAAAAAAAAACCCAGAATTTTTAAATTCACAAATCCACCAAATAATCATCTTTATTCTTCCCTCACACCCTTGATTTTCTGTAATCCTGGTTATTGCTATGGTTTATTCTTACAGTAAATTTGCCCTGCAGAGTCTAAACACAGATATAAAACATTTTTAAGAGACTTGATATGTAAGTCTGATATGTAAACCCTTGAGGAAAGGAAAGAAAGACATAATTATCCAAGTGATCTCTGCAAATTGTATCATAAAAGGAGAGTAGTTTAAAGCAATACATCCAAGAATGGTTAAGGTGCCCCTTAGCTAGAGGCAAGTTCAAAAAACTCACTGAGAATGTATCTGCTGGGAGAGTCCTACTGAGGGCTTCGGCTTGAGAGTCAAGGTCATCTGGGCCACAGGACTGACTCTTGGTAGAGTGTCTGCCTTCTTGGATGAAGTAAGCTTTGCTGCTTGCTCAGGAGGGACCCAAGAGGAGGCAGCCCCAGGATTCTGCCCTCCAAAGATTGGTGAAGAGGTGTCCTGGGCAGCTGCTATCTCGCAGGCTGTTCCCTTGGTCCCTGGTTTACACACACAGAGCTGAGGCCGGAGACATATCCCTCCATTCTGGCATGGCGGCACACAGCTTGCTGCAGAAAGACAATAGAAGGCACAATTTTGAAGAAAAGCAAAGTAGATCTCACTAATTCTTCCAAAGGGTTAACATTAATATCCGGGTGTTCGCCAATAAAATAAAACAACACTTAAGCACTCATGATGATGGTGATGATAGCTAATACCTACTGTCGCCTATGTGACAGACACTGCCCTGTAACAGAACAACAAATTTAATCCTCCAGAAACTGTGCTTTGTAGATGTTTTATGTGGCCTGTTTTACAGATGAAGCAAAGGTTAAGTAGTTTGCCAAAGGTCACACAATCATTAGTAAATAAAGAGCCGAGATTCCAACTCAAGTGAGCTGGCTCCAAAGCCATTATGTTTAACCACTTTACTGTAACTGCCTTCCCAAAATGCATCAGAAAACACAGGGAAAATCTTGAGAAAATTCTCTTACTACTTTTAAGTTGAATTCTGTGGCTTGAGTTTAAATTTAATTTTAAATTTTTACTTTTAAATGTTCTTTCCAAGACTTGACAAATAAAATGATCCCCAAACCCAAAAAGTACTCTCCTGCAGGTTTACAGAAGCTATCAGAGTTTGGAGAGATGGTTTTAAGTTTTATTCCAACCCCCTTTTTTCAGATATGAGAAAATCAAGGTCAGAAAGGTAGAGAGTCACCCAATATATGCCTGCTAGTTTTTATTAAAATTCAGTGCACTGCACAACATCCCTAATTTTATAACAAAACACAATCAAAGAGAAACAAGCTCTTCATCTCCTGTTTGCCAGGATATCTAAACTTTGAATCATCAGACTTGTGGCCAGCAGAGTTAAGAAGTTAGCAGGGCTGTGGGTCATGGGTGAGGTTAGTGGATTTCATCACAGGCAGGGTCTCTTGGGAGTTTAGAGGTTGTTGACTTAGGTTTTATTAGGAAATGTCACGGCCTATGGGCATGACTCCTTCCATCCCTTCTTTATTTGCTCAAATACATTTGTTATAAAGCCCTTGGCTATCAGTCCACCAAATTTCCCATCAAATTCAATGCCAGACACACTCCACCAAACAGTTACAGAATAGATAAGGGATGTGAACTAGAGGAGACTTAGCTACTCAGAGCCAAATCACCAAGACCTGAAACCTACTGATCTCTCTAAGAGTGAAGACGCTTTTTCCAACTTACTACAATATGATTACTATTAGCTATAGCAAATAATTACAAAGGACCCTTGAGTGTCAAAAACTTCTCAACTTTTCAACAAATTTTCAAAAGTTGTGAAGGATTCCCCTACAAAAAAATGTAGCCAGCTTCCTAAGTAACCCTGGGGTAAGGCAGTTAACCTTGACCCCTGCACCTGTGCATGTGGAGTGCAAGTTACAAAATAATCCCCATTAGGCTTCTAGAATTCAAATTCAAAAGCAATGCACATCTAGAGTTCAGGATGCTTACGAGTCAGTATTTTCTAACTGACTAAGCAAGCTTTGTTGCAGGGCGATGCTGAGCTCCGGTCCTTACTCAGACACTATGACTTACAGAATGTCACAGGACTGGGAATGGGCTCCACCTGAGTGACCCAAAGTAGCAGACTGTGACTTTGCCAGAGATCACCCCCAGGCACGTTCATGTCCATTCTGTTCATGCTTTCAATTAGGAAAACGTTTGAGTTTAACATCTGAGGCTGGTTTCCACTTCTCCTCCCTCCCAAGGGTACTGCAAATATCTACCAATCTATCAGGAAGGCTGCAAGGCACAGCCTGTCAAAGCTGGCACCCAGGGACTGTCCAAGGACTGAAATCATCCAAAACACCACTGTGCCACAAGACTCTGCCTTTAGAAGGACATCAATGGCTTAGAAATGTAAAGGTGGGGGGTGGTTTAGGTCTTCTAATTTTGCATGTGGTAGGGGGTTGGAAGGAGGGCAATAAAAGAAAAAACTAGTAAAAATTCACCAATATTTTCTGCTGTAAGAAAAGGAATGTGTTACATCATAGAATAAATATATCCAATGCCACCTTTCTGTAGCAAATTTTAAAAGGAGATTAAGAATGAGAATTTTCTCTACCACCCTACCCTACCAAGGCTCAGGAAGGATCCCAAACATGCAGACAAGTAGGGGCTGGCCTGAACTGGAGCAGAGGGGAAAGATGCCCTAATGGCCATAAGTAAGTAGAACTGGTGTCCTCCATCACATTTTATAGCACCATTTTTCCAGCCACACTTGGACACCATGCATTAGTGCTATTCACAAAGCAGGGAGACCAGTGGTTCTCAAAGAGTAGTGGCCTGCACCAGCCACAGTAATATCACCCAGGGTCACTTTGGAAATGCACAGTTTTGGGCTGTGCTAAATCTGAACCCAGAGCCCAGCAATCTCTGATTACACCCTCAAGTTTGAGAACCACTGACACCAGCATTTGGAAGGTGATAGTCACCCAACAGCAACTTCTTGAGGATTTATTTTTTATAATTGCTAGTTTAGTGTTTTCACACTAATTAATTGTTTTCATTTTATTGATTACTGGCTATGATAAATGTGTTTGCTTTAGGTTACCTTTTAATTTTTAATGCAAAAAGAGGAACATTTTCCTAGTGACCAAATTCTCAGGATCTCTATGAGTCCTTTCCAAAAGTCTAGACATCTGTTACCATCTACTTCATGGCCAACATAAAAACTGGCAGGTATTTATTAGAAAACTGTGATTATATGTGAGGTGTTGAGCTATGTAGGATATCATAAGTAATGCTGCAGAAGCGCTTTTTAATGGGGTTTGCCTTCCACCAGCTGAACGAGCAGATGCCTGGCCAGCTGGGCTCAGCTGCATCAGAAACTTATCAAGCCATGGGCGGCATTTCTCAGGCTATGCTTCACATTACCATCACCTGGGAGCTTTTAAAACGCTCAGGCTCAGGCCTAACTCCAGGCTGGTTAAGTCAGACTCTCTGGAGGAGGGCCCCAGGCATCAATACCTTTTGAACTCCCAGCCGAGCAAAAGGGACAGCCAAGTCTGAAAAGTAGTAGGTTTGAGAACAAAATCCTAACTCAACTCTGCGGACAGTCTTCCTAAAATGTTGCTCTTTCAATCATTTTTCTCCTCCATTCAAAAACTGTCAACACATTTTTGCTGCCCATGGAATAAATTCAAGGTCCTATACATCTGGCCTCATACCCCCTTTTCCTCCATCTCTCCTTCTGGCTCATCCATGCAGAAGCTCCCCAGTTGTCCGGGGGTCTCACTACTTTTCTCTGCACACAAGGTGCCCAGTCCAGGAACACAGGCCCCTCCATTCCACCAGTACATCAGAAAACTTTGGTCCTTTTGTCCATCCCTCTCTATGTCTGCTCATACCAGGGTCCTCACCCTCTCTTATCTCTGGACCCATTTTCATCATTCACTTCTCCTTGCACATGTGTTTCACATTTTAGTAGCCATTCTTTGATGAAGTTATCTCTATTTCCCAACCAGATTATCAACAGGGACATCAGTTATGTGGCTTATGCAGAATGTTCTGTACCCTGAGACAGGAGTCTGAACTTTATCTTGGTTGACTGGCTGACGTAAATGTAGAGTCGCTACTTTCCAAATAATGGTGGGATCTAAGCACTGCTCTATAGGAAAGAGTCAGTGAGTTCTTACTCCATTACATAAGAGCTACACCTCCAGGCTCGACTTGCCTGGCACTCAATGGAAAAGCTTCTAATCCTTCAAAGCAGATGTTTTTCCATCAACATTAATATTCAAAGATGCTCTGCAAATACAAAAAAAGAAAAGGTCTGTAGTGACATTTAACAGTATGTGAGACTTATTCTTTACAGAAATAGTTTCAGAAACCGTTTCAGAAGTTCGTACCTGGATGGTGGAGTGGCTCAAGTGGCAGAGCGCCTGCCTAGCAAGCATGAGGCCCTGAGTTTGAACCCAAGTACTGCCCAAAATTTTTTAAAAGTCCCTATCCAATGTGTCCTAAAAGAAATCTGAAGTGTGAGACAAACTGGCAAAAGATCAGTTTGGGATGGTAGGAACTGTGACAAATTACTAACCTTCCAATAAAAATAGTACTAAGAGAGCAAGCCTAAGAATTTTCGGCATCATAGAAAAAAGAGAGGTTGGAGTTATGGCTCAAGAGGTAGGTCGCCTGCCTCGCAAGTGTGAAGCACTGAGCTCAAAACCCAGTACCACCAAAAAACAAGATAAAAGAAAGAAAAACAGAAAGAGTTTCAAAGAGCTACTGAGTTTATGGAAACGAGCTAGAAATGGAGGGGGGGAGACTAACAATTGATAAAGTAGATAGGCCTTTAAATGGATTTCTGCTCAACACTCAAGAAAGCATAGGCCCTCCCCAACTTCAAACACAAAACAATGACAAAGAGAAGACATCTTTATAGCCAGGCCTGGGAATGAACACTTATAACCCCAGCTCTAGGGAGGCTGAGGTAGAAGGGTCATGAGTTAGAGACCAGCCTCGGCTAAATAGCAAGACCTGTCACCTAAAAAAAGTTTCTAAGCTAAAAGGATCATTTCTGCTGCTGGTTATGGTGGAATAACGGTTACCAAACAAGCCTCTGGTCAGAAACAACTAGGAGGCTGGTGTAATATGTCATACAACTGCTTTGTGACACTTGACAAGCAGCAGCACAGGACTGTGATTCCAAAAAGAAGGGAATCAGTGAGATACACCCTGTGATCAGCAAACTTCTGCAGAGAGCACTCTGGGGCCATGTCATGGGGAGAAGCAAGCAGGCATGACAGCATCATGGCATGGCAGAGCTGAGGATACAGAGCCCACCTCAGAAGGCTGAGCAGCTGGAATGCACAGAGCCTAGAACTGGAGAGAAGACGCTGCACACACAGACAGTCCAGAGACCGGCAGAGGAGTCTTCATGAGTCTTTGCCTGACACTAAGGGGCACCAGGTGAGGTCAGACAACAACCAGAGCGTGTTCAGGGCACAGATTTCAGTTCTGAGCTGCAAGAGTCAAAACATATAGTATAACCTCAATCAGACAAGAATAGTATTCCGAAAGAAAATAAATA